GAGAGAGAGAGCAGGAGCAGGGGAAGAAGCAGAGGGAGAAGCAGACTCCCTGCCAAGCGGGGAGCCTGATGCAGGGCTCGATCCCAGGACCCTGAGATCACGACCTGGGCTGAAGGCAGACACTTAACTGACTGAGCCACCCAGGCGTGCGCACGCGCGTGCATGTGTATGTAGTTTTGTTGTTTTATCTCCAGACCTAGAACAGCATCTGGTACATAGCATGCCTCTGATAAATAGTTGCAGTGGCAGATGAACATTTGAATAGAACATAATGGTGATTTTTATTGCAGCAAACAGGGGAACCGCATGGGGGAACAGAAACAGAGAAATGCCTGCATCTAGAATATCCAGGTCCTGTGAAAAGAGGTCAGCCTCAAGCATGGGCCGGGTGATCCCTAACTCGAGTTACTCAGACCAGGGGGAGAAGCAGATACCCCAAAACCTGCCCCCAACAGAATGCTGTAAGTACTCCAGGGGAGACAGATGTCCTGAGAGCACAGGGAAGGCGCCAGCACGTGGAGCAGCAGCCTGGGGCAGACGGGCCAGGGGAAAGAGCTGTTCTCCACGTGGTGGAAGGACATCGACCGGGGAGCCCCCCGGTCCTGAGCAAGGAAGGCTCCCTTACCTGTAAGTTCCTGTAGTGGACAGCACTGCGACAGTGGCTTATCTTCGCCATCTCCTCGCTCGTGTAGAACAGCCCGCACAGCTTGCAGTAAAACCCAGTCCTGGGCACCACGAACTCCACCCCTGCAGGAGGATGGGGGACGGACAGGCAGGACTTAGGAAGACCACATGAGGCCCCTGTGGTCCTGCCAGCTGGCGGGTGGAAATGGGAGCACTGAGCTCCATCCCTCGCTTGCTGTTGACTCTGGCTGGTTATGGAGCTTCTCCAAGCCTAGTTTCCTCATCTGCAAAAACAAGCCTGAGAACAGGGCCGACTCCATTCCCAGGTGGTTGTGAGGGAATGCTTCACAATTCTCTGCTCTGCAGCTGTTCCTGGGAATGGGGCCCGGACCCTTCTGTTATCAGCCTGCTTCTAGGGAAACGAGGAGGAAGCGTTTCATTTCTCCACGCTGTACCCCTCTCTGTAGCTGTTAGGGCCAGGACTCGGGAAGGATGCTGTCATTTTTGTTTGTTTTAGAATTATACGCATTAAAGAAAACTTTAAAAATACACAAAAGTGAGGAAAAATCACTTAGAGTCATTCCAATCAAAACATTTTCTTCCATACTATCTCTATGTAGGGCTTTTTTTCGGTTAGGGGGCAGTTTTCATTGTACCCTAAGTATAGTTCTTTCTCCTCTCTTTTTCATGTAATCGTGAATCATAAACATCTTCCCATCGTCCAGTGTTTACATCTGAACCACCCAGCGATAGCATTTTACTTATGGGATTTGCTAAATAGAAGCCACAGGATTCTGGGCTGCCTTCTGATTTTGAGGAAAGGAAACGGTGGCCTGATGGCGAGAGAAGTGACAGTGTCACAGCCCAGAAGATGCATCTTTGAAGGCACGGTGGCTGCTCCAGCCTTCGCCAAGGTGTTTGGGGGTCACCGTTCTCCTCTTGAAGCCGTGGTTGGCAGAGTGGAAAGAGCGCAGGTCTGAGAGGGCACAGACCAGACTCCAGTAAGAACCTGTGGGAAGCTGGGGGGAGTCGGAACTGTCAGCAGAAGAGCAGGGCATCAGGGCCGTGAGAAGCAGGACCCCTTGGGGAACTGCGGGAACGGGGCCAGCGGTTCCTGCTCTCAGGCTGGGGGGCTGGCGTGTGCGCGCCCGCACTTGGCTGGTCTGCTGCCCACCTGCTTAGCGCCCGTGGCCCTGTGGGGGGCCGGGGGGGCTGCAGTGGGTGGAGGGGGGCCCAGGGCAGGGGGGCCGCCCTCCAGGGGGACTGCGGCCGCTTCTGGCAGAGAGGGAGACCGCCCAGGGCTCCATCAAGGCGCTGCGTGGGACCACATGCCTGGGCTTCCTTCACTTTCCTCCTGCCGTGTCCTGTGGGACAGAGACCCTGCCATTGAGCGGCCGCTTAGACTTGTAATTACAACTTTTTTTTTCATTTCAAAAGAGCCACTTATCAGTGTGCAGCGGCCAGCCTGGACGGAGGCGGGAGCCCGGGAAGCCTGCCCAAGGCCTGCTTTGACTGATTGCTCCTCTGTGGTTGGGGCCTGGTTTTGGCAGCCTCCTCAGCCAGTTTTCTCTAACTGCCACGCAGCTCGCTGCCCTGCTCACAGCAGCCCCCAGAAGGGAGGGGGCCTCTCTTGGGCCCGCTGCCCAGAAAGAGGCTGTGCCCTTGCCCTCCTCACCTTCCTCCCACCCCCACGGCAAAGGACTGAAAAGTGGGCCCTGCTCTGCCTGTGGGTGGCTGGCTGGCCCCTCCACCTCACTCACAGGCCCGCAGCAGAGGAGCCGTAAGCAAGGCCTGCCTTGGTCCTCTGTTCCCACAGAACAGTTCTCCCCAGCCTGCTCTGTAGAGAGATGTCCACACAAGACAAGATAAAGGCCACTGGGAAAGGAGATGCACCACCCGGAGGCCACAGGGAGCAGACACAGGCCTGTGATCAGAGCCGCTCCCTCTATCCTGCCCCAGACCCTGCAGGAGGGGTCAGTGGGTAGGTCCCAGCAAAGAAACCTTGGGGTTTCATGGCAGGGCCCCGGTAAGGCCTCCAGCATCCTCCAGGTTTTCCAAGAGGCCTTCCAGCCCATGTCCTGGGTCCCCAAGAAGGGGCGCCACTGCCTCAGGAGCCCCCCCAGAGCGTAAAGCAGGGCCTGAGCTGTGGGCCCTTTCGACCCAAGCGGCACGCGGCCATGTGAGGGGTTCTGGGTGAGATTTCTGGAACGACGACTTCCACTGCCCCCCTCCCAAAAAAAGGCTTGGAAGCCACAGTATAGTGGAGAGAAAATGGAATTTAGAGTCCGAAAGATCTAGCTCTTTTACGTACACTGTGTGACCGTGGGTACGTTATTTAAACTCTCTGAGATTAGTCTCCTCATCTATAAAATAGAAATAATACTCCCACAAACGGTGTTATCATTTTGCCTGGTGCTCAAAAAATATTCATTTCCTGCTGTGGATTAAACATTTCTCCACAGAGGCCTTCCTGCCCCCTAACCCGGGCCCCGAAGGTGGGCAGCAACTCTTCCCTGCCCCCGCCTGACGTCCAGCCGTGAAGCGGTACCAGGTGCTTAAAAGCGCTGAGGAAGGAGAAGTCTGAGGAGGATCCCCAAACGCCTGGCAACCCCCCACCCCAGTAACTGGGAGTTGCCATGGGCACCACATGCCAACACCACCTCAGGATGCCTCTGGAATGGGAGGGCCAGAACTGAAGAAAACTCTCACTGCCCCAACCCGTCTGGAGCCACTCGGTCCTCCCATTTTTCAGCCTCTATTAAGCATGACAATTAAAGCTGTATTTGCTTTCTAATAATAGCTCCTGGGCCGGGTAATTATAACTACATCATCCTAGCAAATCCTGTGATGGGTGGAGGGGGAGCTTGCGTTTTGCAGGCAATGCCCTTTGGTTCTGGAAGCGCAGACCTTGGCAGGCTCAGGCTGGCTGGGGTCACTCAGAGCTGGCCTCAAACCCATGGGGCCGTGCCCTCTCTCTGTTCCCCCCACCCCATGCCCACCCCATCCCCCGAGCACTGGGACCTCACCTCCCTTTACTCTGGATCCTTGGCACTCCCCATTTGCCTCCCTGCTCTCCACAGGGACAAAGCCTGAAGGCTGTTCCCTCCCTCCCTAGAAGTCTCTGCAGGAGTGCTGGATTCTGGAGCATAAGGGGCATGCAGCCCCAGTGAGAGGAAAGAGCAGGGCTCAATAATTACTTCATGAACGAGTAGTAACAACAGAGAACCCTCCTCCTGGAAAACACTCAGACGTTACACGTATTCACTCATTTCCTCCTCAAACTAACTATACATGGTAGGCTTCTATTACTACCCTTAGTTATTGATGAAGAAAGTCAATAAATCAATGAGGAGAGCTGAAAAGGGTCGCTCTTTGTCCCCTAGCCAGCTGAGACATAAACCTGGGGAATCAGATTCCACAGTCTGTGCTCTTAACCGCTGCACAAAAATTGCCTTTCCTACACTGTGCTTCCTGAACTAGAGGGACAGGAGGGCAGAGTGGTCTCAGATTGGAAACCCGGAGCTCTGAGCTGACCTTGCTGTGTGACCTTGGGTAAGCATCTGCACTTGTTTCCTCTCCTGTCAAATGTGGAGAATGGTGCCATACCCCCACCCCCTAAGATCAATAAGATAATGGGTCTCAAAGCTCATCGAAGACTACAGGCAATACAAAAGCACAATCTGTTACAGCCCCAAACTGGAAACAACCCAAATGCCCATCAAGGGCTCAAAATAATTATGCTGAGTGAAAGAAGTCAGGCAAAAACCCTATATTCCAGATGATTCCCTTTGGATTCAAACTCATGTTTAGTGACAGAAAGCAGATCAGTGGTTCCCTGGGGACTGAGGTGTGGGGAGGGAGGAATGACAAAGGAGCATCAGGAAACTTGGGAGGTGATGAATACGTTCACTATGTTACTGTGGTAATTAGTCTCCCAGGTGTACACATACATCCAAATTGATCAACCATACACGTTAAACATGTGCACTTCTTTAACATCAATTATACTTCGTTAGAACTGTTTTTAAAAAGCAGAACGAGATACCATTTTCCTAACAGGTTGGTAAAGATTCAAAACTGATGACGTCCAAAGTTGGTAAGGAAGCAGAGAATGAGAATTCTCACTCCGGCAGGGAAAACTGGTATAATCTTTTTGGAGTGCAATTTAGCAGCAATTATGAAAAGATGAACTGCGAATATACATCACACCACAACCCCCACTCCCCGCTCCCAGTCTAGGACGCTGTCCTGCAGAAACCCTGGCATGCACACAAAGGTGACGGCATGTTTGGAAGGCAGCAGAGCATAGAGGAAGCACGGGCCTATGAGTCAAACTACTGGGATTTGAATCCTGACTCCAGTCTTTGCGAATCATCAGCTTTGTAACCCTGCATCTCAGATTTCTAACTTACAAAATAAGGATAAAAATATTATCTACCTCATAGGTGTTTTGAGAGAGTTAAATAATGAAGTAAGCACTAGAAATGGTGCTTGCATGGTAAGTGAGAAACATAAAAGCTTAACTCTTACAGCATTTTAATAATGGGGAAAAACTGAAAACATGCTAAATGTTCACCAGTAGAGAAATGGATAAGTAATTTATGGTACATCTTTTAGAGTGCAATATTTACAATGGTTAAGAAGAATGCATTGTCTGTATACCGACGTGAAAAGGTCTCTGACTCCCACTGTTAAGTTAAAAAAGCAAATTGTAGAACATTCTCTGTATGGTGTGACCTAGTCTCTGTGGGTATGATCGTGACTACCTCTGGAGCTGGGGAGAAACTGGAGTGAAGAGATACAATATTTAACATTGACTTTACGTGGCTCTTATTTTTTACACTTGTCATAATAATCTATCACACTTTTTGGAATGAAAAACAATTTTTAAAAAGACACAAATGACAAGGTGGCAGAACTTATTCTTAATTTTTGCTTGTGTGGGTCGCACAGATTCCAAGTTCTTGGATGCCAAGAGACTTGTGTTACATTTCTCAACCGCCCCAGAGTGCCCTGCATGGTGCCATGTTGTCTAGAAAGTGCTGCCCAGTAAAAATGGGTACTCTATGAAAATGGAACATTTGGAGGGCAGAAACAGTAAGAAATGTTTAAAAGGAGATGAAAAGAAAAAGAGAAACCTGATGGAAAAGGTGAGCCTCCATATTGACCAGCCCCTCCCTGAGTAAGCAGACGTGTGGTCATCAGTCCTCACATAACCCGTCTTTCTCGTGCTTCCTTGGGACGCTTTCCCAAATGACGCCTTCCTAAGCTCTCTCTCCAGTGGCTGTTACTACTCCTTTGTCTCATTGCTTTCCAACCTCTCAGAGTCAATGCAAAGACTCAAAGACGACGTGGAGTGGGAGTCACCGGGTTAGCAGTGGTTATCAGAAGCTCCCAGGGTACTTTATCGAAGTAACTTCACTCCTTACCCTGAGGTTCTAGTTAACTCTCCCCTTATAAATGTGTCCTAGGTGATTCTATTATTAACCTCCCTTCCTGCACCCCCCACCACTTCTGCTATTGCAAATTCCACTATGGAATTGATCTGATTCAATTCCATATTACAGGTGAAAAAAACTAAGGCTCAGGAACCCCACTGAGGCCTCTGCATTTGCACATTCCCTGCCCAAAGCCTGAGCCACCTCCTTCTCAGTGCCTCCCACCAGCTGCACCCCTGGACCCCCAATCTCCATTCTGTCTCTGGCTGGGTTGCCTTCTCTGGCCAGGTGGGTTCTGACAGTACCTTCCATTCCCAGGGCCTCCGATAAAAGTATTTTTACATCTCTCTCTCTCTCTCTATTGACTTGTTAATAAAGGACTTGTAGTGACTGGAAAAAATAAAAACCAAAATACACTCCTGGGTATGACTTGTCTGAGGTCATGCAGTCAGTCATCCAATAAGTGAAACAGGAAGGAAAGGGGCCCAGGTCTCTCTCTGTTCAATGCTCCCTCTACCAAATATAGACTGTCTCCCCAAATGCAGTCTCTTCAGCATCATTGCCTCTGAGAAGCTGGTCCTTCAAAGAGGAAAAAAATGTAGCATTGTCTTGGGAAGGGCTGGGGCAAGGAGGGTAGGGAAGCCAGGAGCAGAAGTTCATTTCTGTTGACTTTGGGCGGCCACTGGGGCCTCTGATCTCTGCCTGAATAAAGGCTGTGTGGTCAGGAATAAAGCATTCCCGAACAGGGAAAGCGAGTTTCTCTTTGCTCTGGCTCCCAGGGCAGTCCTGTTCAGGGCCTGACGCCATGAGGTATCAGCTCTACTATCGGGAGACTGAAATTGCAAGAAACCTTCAAGATACGCACCATACCTATCCCGGTTATTACATCCGACGTTAAACACAACAACAAAATGACAAAAAAGCCCTCGGGACCTCTTAGATGTTACCATGGCGCTATCATTTCCTGGAGCTGAATGCTCAGGAAGGACTGTATACTTCACCTACCTAGAGGAATGCTAAGTTCACTGAACACATCCTCTGGTTCCCAGGAAGGCAAAGAGAGGGGCTGTTTCAGCTCCACTTCGGTGTATTCCGGTGACCTCACGTCCAGAGATTTCATTTCCACGTACTTGGGGTTGTCTGCAAAACAGGGGCCAAGGTAGAGAACTAAGGAAGCACAATGTACTTCAAAGACTCTCTGCCATCCTATTCTTGCACTGTGTGATCAGGCATGGTCCCTCGCACTGCTTAATAACATGAAGCGAGGGCGAGGACTGCTAATTAGAGCCCAAACGCTGTAATTGAGAGTTTGTTCCCCTGCCAAAAGGATGCCCCCCCACACACGAACCCTCGGCAGCTCCGAGCCTTGGGTCCGTGGGGGATGGGCTACTGCCTCCTTCGGTTGGGATGATCCCCGCCTTGCCCCCCCCACTCAGAAATCACTCCCTCTCTGCAGGCAGGAGGATGACCGGTGGCCACACATTGTGCTGACGTGTCTAGGTGCAGAGGTTGGTGCAAAAGGCAATGCCACGTTCACCCCAAGCTTGTTGAGCGGTGCTATTAAATATGAGCTCCAAACACTGGGTAAGCAAGTCAGCCATGAACACCAGTGCGTGTTGAGACCTATACGGCAAAATAAAGGGGTTCAATCGGGGCACGGTGAACGTTTTGCTCCTTCTCCAGTCCTGCCTTCCTTCCGGAGACCCAGCCCAGGCCTCCGCGTTGCTCCGGCAACCAGGCAGGTGCTCAGGGCAGTTTCCATGGAGACTCGCAGGTGAAAAACAGCTCAGGTCAGCCCGCCATGCAGGAGAGCCTGAGTGTCCAGCAGCCGCCAGGCTCGTGCCAGCCACAGGGCGCGGGGCGGAAGGTTTCTTTTCAAGCCTCTACTCCACGGTTTCTGTCCCCGACTCTGGTCCCCCTCCCTGCCACCTTCAACGTGCTGCAGGCCCTCTGGGGAAGGAAGCGCTAGCTATTTTCCCGCGGAGAAGGCTGAGGGCTCCTCCTCCCCGCACCGTAGCCCTTGCCGGATCTTTGTTCCCACTTGGCAGAGAAGACAGGGCTTAGCCTATTTTAAACTCTGTCTCTCATGATGGCATAGCGCCGGGCACCCACAGCATCACCTGCAGCGGAGGCGGAGGACAGCCTGGGACAGGCCTCGCCTCCCCGTCAGGCCGTGGAGACTGAGGGGGTCTGCACCAGGAGCCAGGGGAACGGGCCGTACCCCCCGGGAGCCCCCCACCCCCCGTCCCACCCTCTGCCCGCTCCGTGCTCCTTTCTCGCCTCCTGCTCTCCTGACCCCTCCCCCGGGCTCTCCTGACCCCCTCCCGGGAGTAACAGCCCGGGTGGTCCGCCCTTGGGCAGGCTTGAGAGGCCGTCTGCTAATCCAAGGAACCAGAGCCCCTTGGCCTGATGATTCAAAGCTTTCGCTGATTTTAGTTGTCAGGGTCTATCTGGGCTCCCGTAAATTCAGAGAAGTCTATCCTGTCTGAGTTTGCTTCTCAGAAAACATGTGGCCTCCTATCTGATTTCCTTCACACCATTTGCCAAGAAGCGCTAACCATTTAACCAGGCCTTTGGAAGCTGGCTTTCTGCACCAGCTTCTTGAATGCTGGTTGAAACCTTGCTCATGTTCGTTCCAGCCTGCACGTGCCCGCACACCTCCCTAGGTGAGCAGTGATCCCATCAACCCAACCGCACAGGAGAAAAGGGAGGTAGTTACCCTGGGTCGACACTCCTTGGCAAGCCTGGCTTTGGAGGCTGGTGTCGGTGCGAGGGCTGGCTTTCCCCTCCAGGGGGCTGCCTTCACAAGCCCCGTCTTCAGGGGTCCCCCTGGCCTTGCAGTCATCGAGAGGTGGGCTAGGCTGCCGGGCCCCCTCCTCTGCTGGCTCGGGGGAAGACATTTGCTGGAGTGGAGGGACCAGACGCACATCGGGACGCTCCCCTCCCTCTGCCCGCTCCTCGTAGCAATCTGAACCCTCCAGTGAGCGGCCTGTCTTACGTTCAGCTGGCTTCCGCTCAGTGTCCAGATTTAGGCCAGGCATTTCCACGTCCATGTCACTGGGACAGCTCGTGGGGGCAAAAGGCAGGTCTTTGGGTGTCTTGAGGCTGATTTCCGTGGCCCCGTTCCCTACGGGCTTCACTCCCTCGTTGGTGAAATCCTTGGCTACGTCCAGGTCTAAGGTGGTCATCACACAGGGACATATTTCTGGGCAGATTTTGCCCTTCTGGTCAATGGGCACAATTTCTTCCAGTTCTGGGATGTCTGGTTCCATAATAAAATCTTCCTCCTCACCAACCTCGTCCACCGTAACAAGCTCCTCCATGTTGGTGGGGTACCAGCTCTCCCCTTCGGCCTCACTTCCACTCTCCCACTCTTGCTCCTGAACAAACATGCAGAAGAAAGGTCAGAGAGTGTCGGAGGAGCAGGTCTTGGTATTCAACCAGAGGGCGCAAACTTTGACCACTGGGCCCCTCTAATCAGAAAGATCCTGAGCACTCGGGCTTCTGCCTGGGAACACTTACTGGGTAATCAGGAGCTGTAAACCACTCAAGTCCCACATCACTGATTCATCCCTAGGATGAGGCTCAAAAACAGCGTTTAGAATCAGCCCTTAATGCTGAATCTACCACGTTTAAAATGGCACAAAGAATTTCAAACCCTGGTGTATAATAGGTGCTCAATAAAGTTTTTGAATGAATGAATGATAAAGCTATAAACTCTAAATAAATCAACTGGCTGGAGCTATTTCCTTGCATGAAGGCCATCACTAAATGGAACTGTAGCCAAGTCCCCCCTCAAAAGTCCCCCAAGCTCCCTTTCCCACAAGGGTGCAACTTTCATAGCCATGGCTGACACTTGGCCCCTCCTGAAACTCTGTCATGTCCCCAGGAGCCAGATTTCGGAGATCAGCCTCCTCACCAGCAATACTCATCTCTCCACCTCTCCTGACCAGAAAGGCACAAATCTGGCCATGTTCCAAACACGTTTCTTTTTGCTGAGGCAGCCGCAGCACTATAACTGGATTTTTTAATTTTAATTAAGTAAAATAATCTTTACAAGCGCAGTAGATGTTTTTTTAATCCCAGGGTCTGGGCATGCTGAGGTCAGGGCCCTAGCTTGAGCATCCGAAGCTCCCCTCTTCCCCCAGCCCCTCCCAAGGGAACTATTCTGGGAGGCTGGCTCTGAAGCCTGAGTCTTTTTTGGGCACATGTTTTCTCTTACGAGTGCTGCCAAGGTGCTGGAGACTGAGGCAGAGCCCAGGCATGCAGTAAAGATCTCCTTAATAAAGACTGCAGAGATCCCGGGCAAAACCATTCTTCCAAGAAGTGCTGGCTTCATTCGTGACAGCCCAGGTGGGGTCTTGGACACAGCCCATGCAGCGAGTGGGGCATCCCAGGGCAGGATGGGGATGCCTGGGACGCGGTGCCCACGGGCCGTCATGCAGATGTGGCGGTCCTACCAGCACCTGGGACCAAATTTACCTTCTTTGTCCTTGTGTCTTCTGCATCTGAGGACTCTGTTTCTTTCTCCTGCCTGGTCGCTGATGAGGTGCTTTCTTCCATGCCCTCCTGCTCTTCTTTTCCAGCCTTACCAAAAAAGAACAGAACAAACCAATCAACAGAGGGGTGAGCAGGAGCAGAGGAGAGAGGGAGCGCCAAGAGAGAAAACAATGCAGCTAACGGTCATCAGGTGTGTCTCACAGGCACATTTCCTTGATCCTCACCAAACCCCTCGGAGGCAGGTGCCTTGCCTTTTACAGATGAGGAAACGAAGGATCAGAGAGGTTAAGTAACTTGCTCAAGGTCACACAGACAAGTGGAGGCACGGAAATGTCTCAGTGGTTGGACTGATATCTTTAGTGGGGCAGAAATCTCTGGCAAACTGGGTGTTTTTGCAGTTGTGAAACCTACAGGCAGGGAGGGTGAGTAAAGGGACCAAGGGTAAACTGGCCCGGGGGTTGACAACCATCGTGGTGACATCTCCCCAAAAGATCTGTTTTGGCCATAAAAATCACATCCGGGCCACTTATGTGTAGGAAGTGGGTTGTTAGTCAACCAGTGCCCCCCTCACCCCTTTTTTGTCTTCTCTCTGACGTAGAGCTATTGCCCAAATTAACAACCCCCTTCCCGTCTTCCTTCCTTCTATTCCCTCCCGCAAATTCAGTCCCTCATGAGAGTTAGTGCTCATGTCTGAGAAATTGAACAACTGAAAGCAGGTGTTTGGTTTGGGAAATTAGGGTCTCTGACCAGTCTGAGAACTGGGGTCAGCAATCTATCATCCTCAAGCCAGTCTGAACCAGTGCCTCTTTTTACATAATCTGTGAATTAACAAGGCTTTTCAAATTTTAAATAGTTGCATTTTAAATGACTACATAAGTACCCACATAATATCTTCACTTTGGCTTCTTGGCCCACATAGCCTAAAATATTTACTGTCTGGTGTTTTGTAGGAAAAGTTTGCCAACCCCCATTTTAGACGTTTTGGGAGGATATTCTCCCATGACTTCAACTTTGGCCACCAAATCAATGACTCTTTCTGGAGTTTCTCAAGGGCACATTGCATTCTCTCAACAATTTTGGCTGAGGTTGGCTCTAAGTAAATGACTCCAGTTCTGATTTCTTATGAGCAGACACACCCCTCTTGAGTTGACAAGGAGCCAGCTGGGGCAGGAGCTCAGGGTTGACTGGTTTAACCAGTTATTACCAGACACGGGAAGAGAGTTGAAATCCTCATGTCCTTGCTCTTTCTGGCATTTGGAGCAGAAGATTCCACTGTAAGCTGTGCTCTAGTCTTCTAAGCTAACCCAAGTGCAAGGCAGCTCCAAATGCCTTTTTAGCCATCAGAAGCCATAGCGTCTACCAACAGGAGACCTCTTTATTTTATCTCCCTGAATAAACTCTCTATGGCCCTCCCTTGTCCAAGAAAGTAATCCTTACCCTCCCCAAGCAATTCCTACAGCCACACTCCTAGGTTAACACAATAGAGGAACCACCACCCCCCGCCCCCCCAACCCCCCAAGTCCAAACTGGGAGAGGCAGGGACAGCATGGCTGGCAGGAAGCATCTTGCCAGTAGGATCGCGGTGCTTCCTCCCTGCAGACAAAGGAAGTGCCCTCAGTGCACCCTGTGCCCTGGGATCATGTGAGAGTAGCAGCTTAAGGGAAACCAACAAACGCAACCAATGCACCCAGCTGTCCGCACCAGCTCACAGATGAAGATATTAGGTCTTAACTGTTGCAAGCTGAGCTCTGCCTCCACAGGGCTAGGGCTCCTGATAAACACCTCCTAACTGTTCTCCCCCTTCTGCTCTGTGGCCTCCTCCCAAGTCTGTTCTCCCCAAGGCAATCAAGAATGATCACTCCAAAATGCAAAAACTATCATAACCTCACTGCACCTTCTTGCTTAAATATTTCATTTGCTCCCCCTTGCACTTGGGATGAAGACAAAAATCTGTAACCTGCCTACAAGGCCTTGCATGATATGACCCTGTTGACAAACCAGACATACCTCCCACCATTCTAACCCTGGCTGTCTCTGTTCCAGCAATACTGGCCTTCAGCCACAGGGCCTTTGCACATGTTGTTCTATCTGTTCTCCTTCTTTTTCACTCAGTGAAACCTACCATTCCTTCAAATCTCAACAGTCCCATCCTAACCCAGGGAAGGCTCTGATTCATCACAGGCATTAACAGCACTGCATACCTCCATCGCCTTCTTAGCACTCAACACGCATGCTCTTCTACTCATATGAGCAATTGATTAGTATGTCTTTCCACTAAACCATGAGCTTCATGAGATCAGGAGTCATTTCAGCCTTCACTCAGAACTGTAGTCCCAGTACTAGGTGCTCTGTGGACATCAGTCAATAGAAGAATGGAGACCTGAAGGCTTTAAGGAGGGGGTGGAGTGTTAACTAGCTCACACCTGCCTCTGGCATGCTTGGGTCTCTGTCTAGGCTCCGAACTAAGCATAAATAGTTTTTCTATTTCTCCCTCCTATGGACTGTTTATACTGGGGGCTGCATTCTAGGGACCCCTGGGCTCCACCTGGCCCACAGACATGTTTTGGCCTATACAGTTTCTAAAATGTGGGAAATTCCACAGATATCTGGACTTTGGTGCTGCTCCTCAAAAAGTGGGGGCTCTCACAGCACAGGGCATGCAGTCCAGAATGGCAGCCAGGAATCGGAGCCGAGCAGTGGCTAACTGCCCCCGACAGGTACCTCCTCCTTGGTCTGCCATGGCCCCTTCTCTCCACGTTGGCTTCACTCCTAGTATCTGGTCTATATCCCCTGCCTGGCTTCCCTTCTCCAAGCACCTGGGTCTGTAACCCTTGATCGCCCTTCTTTCCCATGTTCACCGTACTCAGCGACTTGATTTCTCTCCTTCTTTCTGTGGTCTTGTGGTCAAGGCTGGGCCCCATGTGTGGATCTGGCCACCCACCAACACTGAGCAGCACACACACTGGCCTCTCCACGGCACTTTCTCCAGAGATCTTAGAAATTTCAAATGAGGGGCGCCTGGGTGGCTCAGTCGTTAGGCGTCTGCCTTCGGCTCAGGTCATGGTCCCGGGGTCCTGGGATCGAGCCCCACATCGGGCTCTCTGCTCAGCCGGGAGCCTGCTTCTCCCTCTCCCACTCCCCCTGCTTGTGTTCCCTCTCTAGCTGTCTCTCTCTCTCTCTGTCTGTCAAATAAATAAAATAAAATCTTTAAAAAAAAAAAAAAAGAAATTTCAAATGAGCACAAGCTCATTAAAGTCCTACGACAGCCTTGTGATCACACTCATTTCACAAATGAGAAAACTGAGGCAGAGCAGAACGGGGTGTGACCTGGTTCTCAGAAGCCTGGCCTGTCTCCAGGGTCCAGGTGCAGTCATTCCTTTCTTCCTTCAACAAATACTTACTGAACACCTGCTCTGTGTCAAGCCCTGATCTAGTGAGCACTGCAGACAAAAATTCCTGCCCTTGTGGAGGTTACCTCTGGGGGGTGGAAGAGATAGACACTAAATAAAGACAGACATCAAGGGGATAGCTTGGACCAGGAAAGGTAAGCAGAGAAGGAAGGGAAGCAGGTTGGGACATTGTGGTTTTATGTAGAGGTATTTCTGGCCAGGAATATACTTGGGGTGAGCATGACAACAAGTAAACACAAAGGAGGGGAGGAGGGAGACAGGCAGACTTCAGCAGGGCGGGGCGCCTAGGCAGGTGAACACATGTAAAGGCCCTGTGGTGGGAGGTGCCCAGTATATTAGGAGAAAGGCAAGGACACCGTCCTCAGCCCTGCTGCCTTCCAGCCCCAAGTTCAGTCACTGAACTCATCTGACTCCTGGGGCAGCCCTGGGGGGTTGGGGTTGTTCTCAAGATTGTGATATACAGTTTGACATCAGTGAGGAAGACTTTGTTCTGCTGATACTCCACCAACTGGTTTTGGGCTTCCTGGCTCCGAAACCACAGAAACAATCCACTGGGGACCCCAACAAGTCCCTACTGACCCCACTCTAGGGCTATTAGAGGCAGAACCAGCCAGAGAGACAGAATTTGGGGAAGCCCATAGGGCTTTCTGGGCATCTTTTTTTGCATCAGGGCTCTGGGATGACCCACAGTACGTGTCACCTTAAAAGGGCAAACCGATAAAAGCAAGTGGGTAAAACAGTAGGAGCAGTAAGCTTACTGAAGAGGAATAGCAGAAGTATGGGTAGGATTGGGAGGGGGCAACTCCACCCCTTTGCCATGGGGACACAGGGTTCTAGGCTGGTGGCATGTGTATGAGGTCCAGGCTGGAGCCCCTGCCCAAGGGGGTTGTTGCTCTCTGCCCCTCTTAGCCTCTTCTTGAGAGGACAGGCACTGACCCATCATTAGCCCCTTAGACCCCTCCAAGCATAGACATGCTTCTTAAAAACATCCTCTGGTTCACAGGTCCTCGGGATCCAGTTCAAGTCCTCAGCGAGGCACACGAGGGTCTTCCTGGGCCCACCCAGGTCCCTAATCTCATCTCCTGAGCTCCCCCTGCTCTTCCAGTCAGGAGAAACCGTGGCAGACTTTGAGAATGGGCAAAAAGACTACAGGGTGTTCTTTCCAGGGAACGCTGGGCAGTTCGTTGTCTAGCACACCCCTCCAGGAAGTCTGGTCCCACAGGAGTCTGCACTTTTCGTTATCGTGAGCTGAACTATTTACAACCCTGTAAACTGCAGAAGACCGAGGGTAGTGCAAATGATTCTCGTTCATAGAGATGCAAAGGAATTTTATCTGGTGGAGATGCCACTTTGGAAGGGGCCAGTTTTCGATCTGTTAGCAAATTCACTTCCGCGTTCTGATCGCCTCTCCATGTTGCCTGCTCTCTGGATTCTCCTCTAGACCAGCGTTTACGTCTTCCTGGCTCCCTCATTAATTCGTGAGTTAAATAACATCTTTGACATGTATTCATTTTCTGTTTGCACAAGAGCCATGATTTTACTTTTTAAAGACGTTATTCTTTAATATGCCCTAAAGATGCTGCCACGCTGAGTATTTGCAGGTTCTTTTTTTTTTTTTTTAAGATTTTATTCATTTATTTGACAAAGAAAGATACAGTGAGAGAGAGAACACAAGCAGGGGGAGTGGGAGAGGGAGAAGCAGGCTTCCTGCTGATCAGGGAGCCCGATGTGGGGCTTGATCCCAGGACCCTCGGATCATGACCCGAGACGAAGGCAGACGCTTAACGACTGAGCCACCCAGGCGCCCCTATTTGCAAGTTCTTGAAAACAGTCTTCCCTTCTCGCTTTTGCCCTCGCTGCTTCCCAGATGGCTTTTTCCCCCTACTTTCAATGCCCAGCTCACATGTCACCTCCTCTGTGAAGCTTCCCCCTCTCCTTGCACAGAGGGAAGGCCTCCGGAGCAGCTCATCCACTACTCTGCTCCAGCGTGGGCCCCACTGAATGTCAATCATTTTGTAGCTCTCCTTCCACCATTAGACCTGGGTCTCCACCACAGCATGGACCCTGTCCCATTCACCCCTGGACCTCCCCCCACCCCCCCACCACCCCGCGCTGCGCCTAACACACTGCCTGGCCAAATAGCAAAGTGCATACAAGAGTAAATGCAGTAGTGGACAAAAGGGTGACTCTTCAGTGTCCATGGAGTTGAGAATTGGGCTCTTATTTCAACTTAGTCCCTGTCACCAAGTCCTGGGTCAGACTAGGAGATACGCATGTAGGATTTTTAAAATTGGGTTCTTTATGCAGACCCACCCCGCTCCCCAACCTCCACTATCCCGCTCCTACTTAAATGGAGGTGGTTTGGGCAAGAAGGAAGTGTAAGCCCAGTGAGAGTGTGAATTTTGTTCCCAGAGTCCTCACGACCCACCGTGTGAACTGAAGTTATGCAGTACATTATAAGCCCTTTCCGACGCGTGGATGAAAGGTACCAGCCAACTGCTGAGCACTTTTATTACAGTGGAAGTAACTGTAATAGTGGAATGTGGACACTGTCCAGAGCACCACACCAAGCCCTGGACACCCAGAGTACGTTAGAGGGTGGGGGCTGCTTCTCTTTACCACCTCTCATCAAACTCCAGGGTCGGCAGATGCTTTTGGCAGGAGAAAGGATGGATCAGACCAAAGATCTCATCTCCCTGGGCAGAGTCTGTGGGTGCAAACACCACGGGGCCCCTCTCCCCTGGACACACACAGGACCCCAGAAGGCCTTTGCATCACATCGCTGCCTAACTTCCAGCAAAGGCAGCAGCATGCCGAGGGATTTGGAGCCCCATCGCTCTGCTGTTTCTGGACTGTGTGTCCTTGGGCCACTAACTTGGGCTCTCTGTGCCTCAGTTCCCTCATCTATAGCCATAGTAGTATTAGTACCAATATTACCTCATACGGTTGCTGTGAAGATTAAATACCTTGATTGAGATAAGGTGTTTAGTCCAGTGCCTGGCACGGAGTCAACTTTTAGTGTTTCATTCATTCAATAAAAGCGCATCATCATTATATTAATACTGCCCTGCTCGGGAACCTGCCTCTCCTTACCTGGGGAAGAGATTGCGTCATTACCTCGTTCCCCGCCATCCTTTCTTTTCTGTCATCAGCTCCTCCTTGGTCTCTGTCGGGTCTCTTGGTTCTGTTTTTCTCACTCTGCTTAGACTTGGTGCTCTCAGAGACGCTAGTGACCTTCGGCTCCAGCCCGTCTTCCTTGCCTGAGTCCTCGGGGTGGGGGTGTCTGCTGTCCCGCAGTCTGGCCTCCTCTTTCCTCCTGGACCTCCCAGGAGCATCCTGCTGCTGCTTTCCATACTTGTCCGATTTGCCTTTGGGCTCCTTCCGGTAGTAGCCGTCTTCTCGGCTTTTGTAGCCCGATGCAGAGTGGAGCAGGGTGGGGGACCCAGGCCTCAGGTGCTTTTCTCGGTGGCTCATCCTTCCTTCGAGCCGCTCCTCTAACTCGGCTTTTTCCAGTTGCCAGGAGTAGTGTTTGCGATCGTGTGGCCACGTGTCTGCCCTGTCCCTCTTGTCCTCCCCGTTCTCCCTCCAGGGGCCCGGGTCTCGCTCTTCCTCCCTCCTGGCATAGGGTGAGTGCTCCCACGAGTCCCGGCTGTTGCCCCAGTCGGCCCGGGTGGGGCCCAGAGGGCTGTGGGAAGAGCTGCAGGAGGTGAAGCTCGGAGTGTGGGACCTCGGGGATAGTGACCGGCTCATCGGACTGCGAGACCGTGGCCTTTCTGGGCCATATCTGTTAGGGAGCAAAGGAGTGGGTTTTAGAATCTGCACGTCCCCCAGCCCCCACGCACAGATACACCCCAGTCCCTCACACAGACATACTGCACACATAACTCTGTGTGGCCATATGCGCTTCACAACAACCGTACAGACAACAGAGTGGTACAGGAGAAAGCTTTTCCTCCCTCTGGGCTTCTAAGAGGAGGGATTTTCCCTAAGTACAGTCCTGGTCATCTCCGCCCCTTTACCCATTCTGTTCCTGGGAACTGGGATAAATAATTGGACTGGTTTGGCTCCGTTCCATCTTTGTTCCTCTTGTAAGGAAGCTAGGCTCAGGGGGCGGGCAACTCTCCTCCTGGGGTGTGGGGAAGTTGCCCTGGTCCAGCCTGGTGGGCAAAGGCTGCCTGACTCTGGGGTTCAATGACCCAGACTCTTGGCTACAAGACCAAAGCCACACCCCACTTGGCCTCTACCGTAATAAAGGCAACCTCTTGGCCTCCGTTTGTCTCGTTTACTTCTTATCTCAGTTTGTTCAGATCCTGGGCATGGTAGAAGGAGGCTAATTACTGGGGAGAACGAGAGTGAGGAGGCCAGGCTCAGAGATCCCAAACCAAAGAAAGAACTAGGAAGGCATTTTAGGGTTGGAGGTTTGGAAGCTTAGAGCTCCGACATGCTTGTGTTTCAGATGAAGAAACTGAATCCCAGAAAAGGACCTCAATCTGCTTAAGATTCAGAGCAAGACCTCCTAGTTCTCCTGACACTCCACCACAGAGCTGCAAGCAGCATGGTATGGCTTTATATGTATCTTTTTAAAAAACTCAAACAACCATTTAAAAAAAAAAAAATCCCAAATAAATGGAAATCCCAAACCCAAGCAGCTACATAAAAAGATACACAAACACATAAGCACACACTCTCACTCTCTCTCTTTCTGAAGGTTGCTTGGTTATTAGGCAGATCCACTTAATCATATATATATATATACCTATTATTCTAAGAAGAATGGGCGATTTTCATTTGGTTCCCAAATACAGGAAACCCATGCAGCCCTGACTGACCAGGGGACACCCAGATGTGGCTCACTGGACCAGGCTGCCTTGACCATCCGTGGGGACTCAGCCTGGACTCAGCCCTCTGAAGTGACGTTAGAGCACCACTCATGGTGGCAGGGGCTAAGATCCACAGACTGTGTTTGACCTTGGCTCTCCACGGGGACTATCTCTGTGGGGCAGCTACAGTGGGAAACTTGGAGCCCCAACTTAGTCACAAATTCAGTCGGAAGAAATGAGTTCTAAAACTGAATGCATTCTATGTTCAGAGTAAGTGACTGATCAAGTCCCTACTTTTTGGGGGGGGTTCATCTACATTCCTGTTCCCACATCTACATTCAGCCCATGAAAAATCAACAGGTGGCTCTAAATAGAACACACACACACACACACACACACACACACAACTTACTTTCAGGCGGTTTTAGCAGAGTGTGGACTTGCCCCAAAGGGCCAAATATCAACAGAACCCCTCCTCTATATATTCCTTTCCAACAAAGGAAGGGCTGATGAGAGGAAGCCTACCATCTTGCATTTTCCTGAGGCCTACCCTGGAGCAGCACTCTGGACTAGACTGATGCCTTTTATCAGGCACGTGGAAAAGTAGGGCCCAGAAAGGCTGATGGACAGGGCAGGGGCAAGGGCAGGGCACGCTACCTCTACGAATGAGACATAGGAGAGTGTCCCAGCTGCCCAGAATCTGCCCTGACGTCCAGGGCTAGGGCCTCACCTGTCTGCTTCCCGGAACATGTCCCTCTCCCTCTGGGAATGCATGTCCTGGATGATGGCAGCCACAGTTTTCCCAGGTTTCTAGGCAAAGTCAGAGAGGTCATCATCAGACCAGAGATGGCCATACAAATGCCAAAGAGAAGCAATGAGGACTTGGGTCCATGGCCTGGTCCTCCCAAAGGGAAAAAGTACCCTCCTAGAGGAAGAAAAAGTTTAATCCAGGGCATGAGGAGGGTGAGCATAATGCTGAATGGAGTGGCCCTGACATTTTGGGTGCCTCTTTATCATAGAACATTTTGAACATACGCAAAAGCACAGAGAATGGCATATTGAACTTTCATGCTCCATTTCCATTGTCAACAGTTCTGATCAGTCTAGTTCATCTGTACCCCACCCTTTTCCCCACCCCACAGAATACTTTGAAGCAAATCCCACACATAGGATCTTCTCATCCATCCTATGAGGACACTGACGTGGCTCAATAACCCCACAGGGGGACCATCCACGGTGCTCATGGTCAACACATCTTGCTGCGTTTCGGACAAGGGTGAGAGTCCAAGTCCCATACTGTCCCAGGGAAGCACTGGCATACTAGAGGGATGGACCTGGACTTGAGGATCTCAACCCAGGGAGAACAGCCCAGCTCCGCCTCCAGCCGGCTGGGTGATCTGGGGTCAAGGCTTGCTATCTGTGGGAGACTCACTTTCTCCACCTGTAAAGGTGAGATAATGAGGCCTATCTGGCATCCACCAGTAGCCTCGGGGCATGGCGGGCTACGCTGAGAAAAGCCACAGGCGCTGGGCCTAAATAAAAGGAGCTGCTGGAGGGTTTCCTCTGACCCCTCTGTGGCTGTTTTCCATGCCTCAAAAGTCCCGGGAAGATGCTGAAACCTTCAGTATGAGCCCTGAACCTGTCACAGCCAGGCCCTGTCAGAGCAGCCGTGATCCTTCTCGACATTACGGTGCTTTCCAGGGTCTCCATCACTTCTCACCTGACTCCTTCCACCCGGATACCCTCTCTGTTTAGCTGATTCACCGCAGCCTTCAAGCCCTACTTGGTGATGGTTTCCCCTTCTTTACACAAGCAAGTCACAAACTGCCTTTTGCCCCTGGACTTCTAGGAGCTCCGTACTGATGCACTCATGTTCAAGTCTTACATAATTTCCACAAGAATAGCCTGTCTCTTCAGTTACACAGCAAACTCTCCCCAAGTGAGGACCAAGCCTCCTATTCCCTGTAGCTCTCGGCACCACGTCTTATCTGCAGAAGACCCCCAGTTACCATTTGCTGACTGACTCTTCCTGAGAGCACCATGGAACATACCCAAGAGACCCTCTCTGTGGCTGGGAGGCTGGCGAGACAAGTGCTCTGAAACCAGGCCCTCTGCCCCCAAACCACCTAGGACCCTCAACCCCACCCCAAATCCACTGGGATTTGGGAAGGGAAATCTCTGGTCAAGAGAACCTGAAAACTCCCCTGACGATTCTCTGATGCAATAACTGGGAGACACTGGTTCAAATTAGTCCAAGTTCCCCTCCGCATGTAAGATGCTATGGTTCTAGGGAAGTCTCTCTAGAACAGCCCAGAACAGCTCATTCTTCTCGTCTAGGTCTGCCACAAGAAAAAACTCACTTTTTTTATTGATCCTTCAGATTTGCTCTTTCTCATTTATTCCATGTATTTGCGGGACACCTGTTATGTGAAAGGTTCTGCCCCAAGTGCCCTGAGGAATAGAGCCTCTGCCACAAAGAGGGTACAGGGAGACATGATGGCCAGCATGAGGATAGGAGAGGAGAGGTACCTTAAATCTCTCCTTTCTCTCCCTCCACTTTGCCTGGTGAGCCAAAGGTAAAGTTAGAGGAAGACACATCAAAATTTCCCCCTACCTCTGCAAGCTCTGGTGGGACCCCAGGTGGTGGCCCCTTTGGCCCAGAGACACAGACGGATACGGTGTTTTGCCGTCCACTTCCCCAGTAGCATTGCCCCTCTTCTACCCCTGCCCTGAGGTGACACAAGCCTGGCCAACCACAGCATGGCCTTCCCTGGCCACAGAGATTGGTTCAGGGAAGGACATGTGTCCCAAACGAGCCCGATCACAGTGCCGCTCAGGACATCTGAGGAAGCTTCTCGGAAACACTCCAGCTCTCTCGTTGAAGGAACCAGGAGGATGAGAAGCCAGACCTGCTGCAGTCAATGAAGCCATCACGCCACCTAGAGGAGGGAGGTGGGGCTGCCCGGGGCCATCCCAGGGAGACCCCCCCCCCCAAAAACGAAGCAAAGTGAGCAGAAGGCAGAGTGGAGAGGAGCCAAGCCCTAATGATATCACTGAGGGCCCGAAGCCAGCTGCATCCGCAGCCAGGGCTACTCCTGGACTTTTCATTTACACGAGCCAATAAATTCAATCATTTTTTTTTTTTTTACTTTAGTCCATAAGCTTAAATGAGATCATTTTCTGTCACTTGCAGAGAAAGTCCTAGCTGATTCATGTCAACATAGGGACCATGATGCATGCATTCCCATGCAGTTGAAGTGGGTTTTGAGATGCTTTCACAGGAGAGGCACTGTGACAGCTTGGGAGCAGAAAATCCTTTGTAAAGGGCAGAAAACAATGTGTTCTAGACCCTTGCTGCTTACAGTGTGCTGTGAGAACCGGCAACACCACCTGGGAGCGCGGTGGAAAGGCAGAATCACAGCCCTGCCAGAAAATTTTAACAGGACCTGCAAGTGATTTGTACGCACACTAAAGTTCGAGAAGCTCTGTTAGAATACTATCTGCTGCTTACGGGCTGGATGACTATAAGCAGATTACCTGATTTCTCATGTGGACAGTGGTAATCCTACCAACACAATATAGAGATGCAGACGTATACAAAGCCAAAACAGTCCTAGGTTTTCATCACGGCTCTTCCAGTACCTATGATCTTGCGCAAGTCACTGAACTTCTTTGGGCCTCCTCTTCCTTATCTGTAAAACTGAGATAACTAATATCCTTCTGACAGGACTGATGTCAGGATTAGAGTAGATAATGTACGTGAAGTGTCTGGGGCATGACCTGACCCAGAGCACCAGGACTCAATTAAAAGTACCTGTTCTTGTTACTTTTGTTGTACTGTTATAATTACTGTTATTATCCACCCTACACACCTCACAGGGGAAGGTGAGTGCAAGACTCAAAGAGATAATACATGGGGGGAAAAAAGTGCTTAAAACCAAAAAGCTCAAGGTAGAGTCCTTTCCTGATCTGGTGAATTGAGGTTCACACAGTTGAAGCACCTTGTCCAAGCTCATCAAAGCAGGACGAGGTAAAGCCAAGGTAGCACAAGCACCCTCCCATCTGGAATAGGTCACATGGTTGTCGATGGTTCTGTTTTCCCGTTCTTCCTCACACCAGACTGTGAGCTCCTCGACCAGCTTGCTAGGTCTAAACCATGGTGCCTGGCCCAGTTCCTGCCCTCAGTGGGCACTCAGCAAACATGTGCTGAATACAGACCTTGACCATCTGACCTCTTTAACCTATGGTGTTGTACTACCCCAAACCATTTCCCACAGTAAGGTACTATGGTGCCTTAGTACCTTAAAAAGCTGAGTACTCCTGCTAATCCTAATTAGAATCTTACAACAACATCTCATTTACAGACCGAAGATCCACTGGGAATTTAGTGCAGAAATTCAATTCTAGCCTCCAGGGGAGAATCCAGGAGAATAGAAACTTCGGCTGCAAACAGAATGAGATGGGATCTTCCATTTGTCTGAGAAAAGCAACATGCTTTCACTCCCCAGGGGAAAATAAAAATGCCAGGTTCTGCTAGAATTGTTGGCAAAGGAACTTCAGAAGCAATACTGCAAGCAAAGCAGAATCAAGGCTTTGGCAACATTACCATCTACACATGTAGACTTGTCAGAATGCCACTCCTAGCTAGCAACAACCACTGAGCCTTTGTCTCCTGCCTTCAATCTTTTTTTTTTTTAAAGATTTTATTTATTTATTTGAGAGAGAGAGAATGAGAGAGAGCACATGAGAGGGGGGAGGGTCAGAGGGAGAAGCAGA